GGCACGGCCCGGACCCCTGGGGGGGTCTCGTCTCGGGGGGGGGGGGGGCGTTTGCGGGCTCGCGGGGCCCTTTCGCGGGCCCCGGGGGGGGGGGGGGCGTTTGCGGGCTCGCGGGGCCCTTTCGCGGGCCCCGGGGGGGTGCAGCTACCGCGTGTGCGATCCTGGGTCCACACACGCCTTGTCTGTCTGTCTGTCTGTGGTATCCAGCGGTTGTCTTATAGGAGCGAGCTCTCCGGGCGCAGCTTGAATTATGAAACAGCGCAACGCTTCATTTTTTAGGAACGATAAAGTGGCGAGAGGGGGGCAGTAAAATAAGAGCAGCAGCTATAAATAGTAAAATTCAAGTTGACATAGCAGGGGTAAGAGCAGTTAAGTCAACATCAGTCCAGAGGCTGGGAGCGTAACCCACTTGGTTGGACTCGCTGCTGGAGCAGCATCTCAACCTTTACAGCCAGAGTTGAGCCTAGAAATCCCTTGCCCGGTGAAGCGGTCCTGGTGTCACACAATCCAGCCGCCCGACATCCCCAGCATCTGGGTAGCCTCATTGGGGGGGGTTGCAAGGCGTGTTACGGTAGAGAGAGCGGGTAACAGAGCAGTTATTCAACGCGACCTGCTTGCAGAACAGGAAAGCCTCCCAGCAGAGCAACGAGGTGGCTCTCCTGCTCCTGCTCCGTCAAGGGAAGAGCAAGGCCGCTCTGCAGCAGTAGCTCTTCCGCGTTCCCTGTCCCCAGCAGAAGAGGTTCCCCTGCCCAGTTCAGGGTTCCACCATGACGAAGAGCAAAGGAGCTGGATGTGTCTCCCAGCTGCTGCTTCTGAAGCTTTGAGCTGAAGGAAGTCCCCGGCCTTCTGACCAGGAGGAGGTCGGAGGCCTGAGTGCCCAGCAGGAGTATCTTGGTTTTCCCTGCCGCTAGGTCATTGGCAGGCCGGCCCTCCGTAGAGAGGCCGGATTCCCCAGATTAAACCTGCTGTCCCAGTTCCACATCTGCCTCCCACGTTGATTGGGCCCCAGAAAAGAGGGTGGCATTTGCCTGAAAAGCCAACCTGTGAAAGCAGGCCACGGAATCTGCTGCCCTGGGGTATGGTGAGAGCTGGGCAGGTCTCAGAGAAGGTGCCGTTGCAGCAGCTGCACCCTGCGCTGGCGAAGGGGAGTTGGGAAGGTCGCTTTTCATGTTCTTCCTGGGAGACTGGAAGCAAGCGTCCTTGAGATCAGGGGTGTGGGCAGAGCCTTGCTTTGACCTCTGAATCTGTGGCAGAGGGGGGCTTGCTGTGTTATGCTTTCTCCTGGGTTGGAAGGGAGGATGTTCCAAGGCCTGGTGAGTGGTGATGGAGGGGGCCTTTAGGCTGTCATTCACCGCTGGGCCACAATGTCCTCATCTGGGCAAGAACTGCAAGGCGGGGGGGGGGGTCCCAGGCTTGAGGAATTGACCTCTTGTTTCATGTGGTTGACCTCGGCGGCAGGAGGGACCACAAACGTTTGTGTGTCCTGAAGAGGTGTTTGTGTGGATCGTGCACAGGTCACCTTGATCCTGTAGAGTCAGATCACCCTTGCCTTAAATCTTCCAGGGAGGTGGTTTTCCCTGGGAGCTCCTGCTTCAGCTGTGGAGTGGAGGTCCTGACAGAGTGGCCCTTCACTGGCAGGCCCCAGAAGGTGGCCCCGCGTAGGGAAGCCTTGCCCTGCTTTGGTGGGCTGCAAGGGCTGGCCTGGGAGGAGATCTGGGAAAGGGGATCTCGTGCTGCCTGAGCTCTCATACAGCTGCCCTCGGCCCCTAGAGATGGTCCAGGGCAACACCGGGGGTCTGCCTATCCCAGCCTTGTCTGGATCCCTGCTGGGGGGTGCTGAGGTTGTACTGGCTGCCACGGAGGTTCCCTGGCTCTTCTCCCTTCCCAACACAGGCCAGCTCGCACCCTGTCACTCTGCTCGTCTTTGGGCACGCGGGTTCTTCTTTCTGATCACAGGGCTTGACACTTTTCACTTATGCTTCTGGCCTGATTAAATGGCTGTTGCTGAAGTGGGAAAGAAATTTCCCATCCTATTAACTAGGAACACGCGGGGTATACGGATGTTGTGGTGTACCTGCTCTCTGACTGAAGCTGGGGCGGGGGGGAGGTATTCTGCTCTGGGGGAGAGAGGAGCTGTGGTATCTTTCTAGCCCCAGGGCTGGGGGGCCAGGCCTGGTCTCCTCCCTTCTACTGTTTTTCCTCCCTTCTCCTTGGTGGTTCTAGCTGTTGGAGGGCACTGATGGGTCAGCTTTTGGCTGTGCTCTCCGGCTGTTCCCCTCGCCTGGCCTCTGAGTCTGAAAAAGGATCTCTGCGCTGGGCTTGTTCACGCCACCATGCTTGCTTGTTGCTAGGGAGAACTTGTTGACTGCAGCATGTTGGCCTTAATTGAATCACAATTCCCCCCTTCACGCTTGCTTACGCGAGCTTCTCTCCCCTTGATCCAGCTGGACGGCACGCAGAGCAAGGCTGATGCCGGCTGCCCTCCGGACAGTCCTCCGTGAAGCCCTGAGCGAGCGGAAGGGCAGGCGTCCAAGCCTCAGCCCGGGGGCCTTGCTTGTTTCATGCAGTTGGGGGGGGTGACATGTAGGGAGTCTCCTGCGGTCTGGCTGTCGGGGACAAACCTCCCAGTTTGGCTGCAGCTCCTTTGCTATTTGGGGCCACTAAAATAGCAGGACGTGGGAGAGGCTCTGGTGGAGCTCGGGCTCCTTTGCTTCTGCTGGGGCCCCATGGTCCCTATTGGCAGCATGGAGCTGCTGGGGCTGGGGCAGCCCCCCGCCAGATCGTGAAGTACCCGGGTGACTCCTCAGCTCTCTCGGAAGCACTGAGATGGAGGTTCTGATGTGGCTGTTGCCACAGGTGAGGGCAGGCCCCCTCCTGCTCCTGTGACTTAGGCCGTTCAGCTGATTCAGGTGCAGCTCCCCCCACCCTCCAGGAGGTGCAAAGGGTGGGGCATCTTTCCTTGCCAAGGGTGGACCTGCCCAGACCGGCTTTTCTGTCCCGGTAGCCGTGGGTGAATAAACATTTTGCGGGATGAATGCTGGCTGCAGTGGGTGGGGAGGCGCTTCCTTGGCTTGGCTTGCAAAAGACTTGGAGAGGGGCAAGTGCAGGCCCAGGAAGGACCTTGCTCTCCTCACCCTGCTCCTCAGCAGCAGCAGTTCTGTGGGAACCTGGGTCACCGTGGCGTAGTTTTCTAAGGCCTGCATTGCTGCTGGATAACATCACCAGGCCGTTTTCTTCATTTCTGTCTTAGCCTGTATTGACAAGGCTGCAGATGTTTAACTGTGTGGGCTTTTTTCCCACAAAGCAAAGGAGGCCTGCCTGCCTGCCTGCCTGCCTGCCTGCCTGCCTGCCTGCCTGCCTGCCTGCCTGCC